TACAAAATTCGAAAAACCGGTATTTATATCAACAATGGACCATTCTAAATTCAAGAAACCTGGGTTTGTTTAAGCAATGGACCATGGACCACACCAAAATTCAAAGAACCTGAGTTTGTTAAGAATGAACCTTTCCGAATTCAAAGAACCCATGTTCTTCTGTCATATCTTCTGTATACCAATAGTAAGAGTTTGTGATATTCTGTATTTTTTTAAACTGAGCATGTATAACTTTATAATATATACAAATGAAGGCTTTTTTGACACAAGATCTTGGTAAGTCTTTTTTTTGTGACACTGCACACCTGTAAGGTTAACACATCTTTTGACAACTGGAGTGTTTGCATTGTTTTTTATCTACCATTTTTATCAATTATTTTATCTATACATAATCTGTGATTGGTATCATGGTCGTCAATCTTACCTCAATCCTGTCCTTGCTTGAACTCCGTGCATGGAGAGATTTTCCGTCATAAATCTGTGACTCACTTTTATCAATGTTGTCATAAAAGAGGTATCAAGTTTGGTTAATGACTGGTTCAAGGATTCCGTAATAAAAAAATAAGCGTGCTATTAATGAAATTTAAGATCGGAATCAAAGTGATTTAGGAAGAAAAAGAAGGTCGTAAATTAAAGAATGGTATGATATAAGGTCAGTTGGTACATTGAGTAATAGGGGTGAAATGTTAACTCTTTTTTGATTGGTCAAACCATAAAATTTTATTGTTTTGATTGGTTTATCATAAAACTTTATTCTTTTGGTTGGTTACTGTCCAAACATAGCTTTGTTCTGTATTTGTTGTTTTCTAACTTTAATTCTATTGTTTGGCTGTTCATAATATCAGTTCTGAAAATGAACATATTTTTACTCTGAAGATTTTAGGGCCAAAGTGCCCCATCATGAGGCACTTTAGAAAAATAAGAAAAATAAACAAAATCCTTTAATCATTTTGAAGCAATGCTGGTTAATTCCACAGAGCAATATTAGTTTTCACTCTTTGAAAAAAAATTGCTCAGAAATTGACAATGAGAAAGAACTTGACTTGGGAAAATAAACATTTGTGTCATAAACATAAGATTAATCACAATTATCGTCATGGTTTTTTAATCAATCATTCCACAGTTGTTTTAATCAATGCCCAAATGTGCTCATTTAAACTGGCTTTGTTTATGTGACACAATTTGTCCTCTCAAAACAAAATTGGGAGTGGAAGAAAAAACAAATCAAGGGCTGGAAAAAGATTGTTAATCAAATTTTTGGGGGAAAATGAATACCTTTTTTTTCAATTTACTACTTTTTTAAAAATTCCCAAACATTGTTTCCCCAGTTTAAATTTCATTGGGAATCTCCCTGGGGATATCTAAGAACTTTGGGAAATTTTTGTATTTTTTTATGATTTGTGTTTTGCTAATATTGGTTTTTTGGGAATTCGCATTGGAGTATGCTTTTAATTCAGAAAAAAAATTTTATCTTACTTTTTCGGGAATTTCCGGGAAAATAGGATTTTAAAAATTCCCAAAAATTGTTTAAATTGGCATTTGTTTTGGCTTTTTGAATTTCAGGAAAAAGTTTTTTGGGCACTTTTTTTTCAGAATAAAGTTGGGCTTTTTAAATTCAAAATTGGTTAGGGGAAATTTTAAATTTTCAAAATCAGGTTTTGGCATTCAAGAATGGCTTTTTGAATTGAAAAATTATCGTAGGTTTTAAAAATTTTGGGCCATTTGAAAAACAGAATTTTTAAATTGTAGCATTTTAAATTTTCAAAATTGGAAAACATGACTTTATTCGGGAATTTTGGTTTTTAGGGGATTTTGAAATCAAAATTTCGGGGTTTTACTGTTCATTTACTTTTAAGATGTTTGGGCCTGTTTTTTATATGGCGGGTTTTTTTGAAAGGGGTTTCATGTTTTTTTTAAAAAAAATTTTTTTTACTCATTATTTAGAAGAGAACTTCCAACCTTTCAATATGTAGAATTTTTTATTATCAACTTTGAAATTGGAATTTTTTGTAAGCAACTGAAATTGCAAAATACTGAAATTGTGTAGCCAACAGTTAAATGGAATTTTGGGTTCAATTTGTGTGGCAACATTTTCTATTTGCTTTGTCATTCTTTTATGTCCCAATTCTAATTTTATGTCTAAGTTGAAGACTTTAAACCAGGATATTATCATAAGTTATTTAAACAATAAATTTGGTGGTATAGACTTTATACCAGTCTGGTTAATGCTTGAATTTCATTGGCTGATTTTCATTTTTGAATCTTCCAAATGGACCAATGAAAAGGTTGCTTCTGTAGACTTGACCTTTCACCCTTTAAATTAAACATTTACTTTTTCTGGGGATTAGACCTGAATTTAGGAATTTGCTGAATAAAATTTTTGATCGATCATTATGATAAAGAGATTGTAGCAAATATTTCACTTTATCTGAAAGTAAATAATGATATCAGATAAAACTGTTTACAAATATGAAATTGTGAGATAAATAATGGCTTAAGGAATTTTGTAGAAGATCTGTATATATAAGATAAAAGTAATTATTACAGAACTCTCTTTGTTTATGCGGTCAATACATGATGTCATTGTTTAAGAAATGGTCGATACAATTATCTTCCTAAAAATTGTTTAATGGTGACATTGCATATAAAATTATGGTATATTGTGGTCATGGGCAGTAGCACTTTGTTACATTACATGTATGGTATTTTTTGAGAGGTAAGGAGAGTTTTAATAAGCTATATTCTTATCATTTTCAAATTTATGCTAGACACTAAGTCTTAAACTTATGTTGTCCTATTTTCTCTCTCAATTGGTTCGTCTGAAAATAAATTATTTCTTTCCTATACCATATAATCCAAACCAAGTACCTGGAATAAGGTTCTATAATAGACTGGCCATGGGGTATACTAATGCTCAAAATTATGTCATTTTCAAACTTATACTTGTCACTTAAACTTACGTTTTCTTAATTACCGCAGACTGATATTAATGATAAAATTTCGTTCTAATTTGTTTATACAGAGAAATTTGTTTTTTTTTGACAAAATGACAAAAAAAAGGAAGGAAAGTAGTTAAGTCAGATTATGCAAAACAGAAAACTATTTGTGACAGAATGATAAAACTTGCAGTTTGTAATAAATGAAAAATAGGTCATACATGATGACATAAATATCAAAATTAGACAAAAATTAATGAAACTACACAATAATGGCATAGATTGCTAAACTAGACAATATTACATAAAGTTATTTATTATGTTTATTTTAATGCGGGTGTTTTTTGGGTCTTGCTGTTGTCACTATAACAAATGAGCATGTAAATATGGAGCGGAAAGGCAGCTGCAGAATTTTTAATTTATGCAAATGTTAATATGTTATGAATATGGCATATTTAATTGAGAGAGACCTATTCATTTGATGCCAAAAATGTGCCTCTAGATTTTTTTACATGCACTTTTTATTCTGTCATTCTCTTTTTTGCATAATTAAACCAGGGTATTTGTTATTTGTGGCATACTTTTAACATAATACTTTAAAGGCCCATTATCCCCTTTTATGCTTCTCAAGAGTTTTTAGTTTTGGTTCCCTGTAATAATTTCAGAAAAGTTACTCATGGCGTTTAGCACAATTTCATCATTTTGCTTGATAAGCCTTGATTTTCAGGTCTCATTTGAACTTTTTTTCTTAATTTTCAGTCCTAGCTGTCATAACATTTCACTTAGTTTTTTAAGTCCCATTTTAACTTTTTTTCTGTTTTAAGTCCTTGCATTTAAACTAATTTGGTTTTCTTGCCATTTTCAACTTATATTCACCAAAAAACTGGACATGTGCAGTTTTATAATATCAGTTAGTTAAATGTTTGCAAACAAGTGATTTGATTCTTGTGTTTTAAAGTAAATATTTTATCATGTTTATTCTCAGATGTTACAATTAAGTCATGCAGTTGGGAAATATAATTATTTTGATTGAAGTTAACCAAGGATGAATGGTATGTAAACAAGATTGTCACCGCTTTTAAAACAACATTGACTTTTTTTCAAGTATTTTTCAAATGCTGGTTAAACGTTCTTCAATGTTCTTCTATATTTTTGTTCTTGTTGCCATTAATAACTATGGTATTTTCAGCTTGTTTTTTTATTGAGTGAAGTTTTAAACTGGCAAAATATATATATAGTGCTTTAAGTACCTCAGTCAATGTTAAACAAATCACTTACTTATTATGTTCATTCTGACTTTATGAGCCCTTATACCACACAAAATGTTTTAATTAGACTTGTCCATTTTTCAATCTGTACAAAACCACTTAACATTTTAGGGAATATTTTAAAACAGGTACTGACTCAGAAAAGCAAACAGGAAACATATTTACTGACTTGTCACTCAGAATTGCGGATGCCATGGCAGACAATGACCACACGGCATGTGCCGACCGATCTTGGTTTGCACTGGTTGCATGGTAAATGGGTTAATTTAATTGCCATGCATGACTATTGACTGGAAAGTAATGTAAAGGTTAAGACCTTGAAGTTATATTTTAAAGTTGCGCAGAACAAGTGTAGAATTTCTTCTTTTTTTTTTTTTAGATGTAATATATACCAGTGTGCATATAATTGCATGAATGGTACAAAAGGGCGTAATTATGAAATGCACACGATTATGTTAACGTTCATGGAAATGATCCTAACTAAGTTTTTTTTGGTGAAACCGGACACTTTTATTCAAATGTAGCATCCTAGTGTAACAAACTGTCAGTTCTTGTAGTAGTTCATTAATAAATGCGCGCAGTTAATTCAACTGCGGTCGGTTCATTTTTAATTCACGAGCGTGATCATGGTTTGAATTTCATTCATAGATTGATAAAGAGATTAGTCTATTTGAATAACTTTGGTTTCATGTGTTGATGGTAGTACAGTTAGGAGGTTAAGTGAAACATATAGGAATTATTTATCGAAACTTTTTTACGATTATTATACCCCCGCACAACAAAGTTGTAAGGGGGGTATACTGGAATCAGCTTGTCCGTCCGGCCGTCCGTCCGGCCGTCCGTCCGTCCGTTCGTCGGTTTTTTCTTGTCCGCCCAATAACTTAAGATTCCTTTGACCCTTAGTCTTCATATTTGGCATGGAGGTTAGTCATGATTAGTAGATGACCCCTATTGATTTTGAGGTCACTAAGTCAAATGTCAAGGTCACAGGGGCCTTGACTTCAAAAAGCTTGTCCGCCCAATAACTTAAGATTCCTTTGACCCTTAGTCTTCATATTTGGCATGGAGGTTAGTCATGATTAGAAGATGACCCCTATTGATTTTGAGGTCACTAGGTCAAAGGTCAAGGTCACAGGGGCCTTGACTTGAAAAAGCTTGTCTGCCCAATAACTTAAGATTCCTTTGACCTACAGTCTTCATATTTGGCATGGAGGTTAGTCATGATTAGTAGATGACCCCTATTGATTTTGATGTCACCAGGTCAAAGGTCAAGGTCACAGGGGCCTTGACTTCAAAAAGCTTGTCCGCCCATTAACTTAAGATTCCTTTGACCTAAAGTCGTCATATTTGGCATGGAGGTTAGTCATGATTAGTAGATGACCCCTATTGATTTTGAGGTCACCAGGTCAAAGGTCAAGGTCACAGGGACTTTGACTTCAAAAACTTTGTCTGCCCAATAACTTTAGATTCCTTTGACCCACAGTCTTCATATTTGGCATCGATGTTGATCATGATTAGTAGATGACCGCTTTTGATTTTGAGGTCACTGGATCAAAGGTCAAGGTCATAGGGACTTTGACTTCAAAAAGTTTGTCTACCCATTAACTTAAGATTCCTTTGACCCACAGTCTTCATATTTGGTATGGATGTTGATCATGACTATAAGGTGACCCCTATTGATTTTGAGGTCACTGGGTCAAAGGTCAAGGTCACAGGGACCTTGACAAAAAAAAGCTTTTCTTCTCAATTGCGAAAGAATGTCCTGTCCGCAATGTATTGATTTTGACATTTTCACATTTGAAGCATGTAGAATACATAACTTAGCAATGCACTGGCTTAGTAACCTCAGATTTGGCAGGGAGGTTGTCCTTGAGCTCTAAATGGCCACTGTTGATTCTGACAAAGTGGTATGCGGGGGTATTCAAGCCATGATAGTGGCAGTTCTAGTTTATGTGGAAAAAAATTATTAAATTCCTTTGAAGGGGTAAGTAGTTTTGGTGGGTTTTTTTTGTAACTTTTTGTGGTTACTTTTTAGCTTTTGTGATCGCTTTTGTGATCGCTTTTCATCGGGCGTCCGTCCGTAAACTTTTACTTTAAATGACATCTCCTCATAAACCACTAAGCCAATTTCATCCAAACTTCACAGGAATGTTCCTTTGGTGGTCACCTTTAAAAATTGTTCAAAGAATTTAATTCCATGTAGAACTCTGGTTGCCATGGCAACCGAAAGAAAAAACTTTAAAGATCTTCTTTTAAAAAACCATAAGAGCTAAAGCTTAGATATTTGGCATGAAACATCTTCTAGTGAGTGTCTACCAAGTTTGTTCAAATAAAAGCCCTGGGGTCAAAATTGGCCCCGCCCCGGGGGGTCATTGATTTTCCCTATATGCATATAGTAAAAACTTAAAATATCTTCTTTTAAAGAACCCAAAGAGCTAGAGCTAAGATATTTAGCATGAAACATGTTCTTATGGGTGTCTACCAAGTTTGTTCAAATAAAAGCCCTGGGGTCAAAATTGGCCCGGCCCGGGGGGTCATTGATTTTCCCTATATGCATATAGTAAAAACTTAAAAAATCTTCTTTTAAAGAACCCAAAGAGCTAGAGCTAAGATATTTAGCATGAAACATGTTCTAATGGGTGTCTACCAAGTTTGTTCAAATAAAAGCCCTGGGATCAAAATTGGCCATGCCCCGGGGGGTCATTGATTTTCCCTATATGCATATAGTAAAAACTTAAAAAATCTTCTTTTAAAGAACTCAAAGAGCTATGGCTAAGATATTGAGCATCAAACATGTTCTAATAGGTGTATACCAAGTTTGTTCAAATAAAAGCCCTGGGGTCAAAATTGGCCCTGCCCCAGGGGGTCATTGATTTTCCCTATAAGCATATAGAAAAAACTTAAAAGATCTTCTTTTAAAGAACCCAAAAAGTTAGAGCTAAGATATTTAGCATGAAACATGTTATAATAAGTGTCTACCAAGTTTGTTCAAATAAAAGCCCTGGGGTCAAAATTGGCCCCGCCCTGGGGGGTCATTGATTTTCCCTATATGCATATAGTAAAAACTTAAAAAATCTTCTTTTAAAGAACTCAAAGAGCTATGGCTAAGATATTTAGCATGAAACATGTTCTAATACTGGGTCTACCAAGTTTGTTCAAATAAAAGCCTTGGGGTCAAAATTGGCACCGCCCCGGGGGTCATTGATTTTCCTTATATATGTATAGCAAAAACTTAAAAAATCTTCTTTGAAAAAACCCAAATAGCTAGAGTTAAGATATTAAGCATGAAACATCTTTTAGTGAGTGTCTACAAAGTTTGTTCAAATAAAAGACCTTGGGTCAAAATTGGCCCCGCCCCGGGGGTCATTGATTTTCTTTATATGTGTATAGCAAAAACTTAAAATCTTCTTTGAAAAAACCCAAATAGCTAGAGTTTAGATATTAAGCATGAAACATCTTCTAGTAAGTGTCTACAAAGTTTGTTCAAATAAAGCCCTGGGGTCAAAACTGGCCCGGCCCCAGGGGTGTCATTGTTTTTAACTATATGTGTATCGTAAAAACTTTTAAAAAATCTTCTTTTAAAAAGCCGAATGAGCTAGAGCTTAGATGTTTAGCATGAAACATCTTCTTATGGGTGTCTACCAAGTTTGTGCAAATAAAAGCCCTTAGGTTAAAATTGGCCCTGCAATGTTGGGGGGTTTGGGGTTGGGGAGGGATGGGCCTATATACAGGTGAGCGACCTCAGGGCCATCATGGCCCTCTTGTTTGTTGTTGCATTCTTTATGTTTAGGAATCATTCATTGTAAATTCTTAATATGAATTGTGTAAAAACGGTTGTTAATTTCTTATGGGGTTGAAGACAAAAAAAAAAGTTGTTCAGAATTAAGGGGTGTTGATTTTATTCAAATAAATAATCTAAACCTTGACAGATAACTGGATAGTAATCAGTGTTTGCAATGTATATGTTTATTTTACCAGTTAGACGGTACTGACTACTGTTATAAATTCTTCTCTCTTGTAATTTATAATTTCTACTACTTCCATAATTTCACATATTTGCATAAAATAAACAATAACTGTTTTCCGTTTCATTTCACCATTTATTTATTTTAAAGTTTCCTAAATTTCTAATCTACAATTAATATTTAAAGTTACAGAGTTTTTCTTCCTCACACATGGTCGATAAGTCACTGAGAATTTTATATCTAACTCTTAAGATCTCATTTTTGAAACTTCAATCTCGAATCCTGAACCTTGACTCTTCAATCTAGAAACTTGAATGCCCCCCAGTATTTATATGAAATACCTTGACTTTCCATATTTGGAGGTTATCTTAGTGCTAATTGACAAATTTAAGCCTTCTATATTTATGACGACAAGTGTTGATCAAGTAACTGTACCAGAAACAGACTGATTCCTGGAATATTTATGATGATAACCAATGATTGAGTTCCCTAAACACAACAATTGCAGGCCTCTTGTCCATAATTTATGCAGGTACCCTTTGACAGAGTTACCAAACTAAAATCTCCCAGACTGATACACAATCTAGCCCTAACAGATTTATAGTAATAAATAATGACAACAATTGAGGTCTCAATTCTCATACAAACTGAATCATTAAATCAAACCTTAACCAGGTGCCTTGCTAAAACTACAACACTACTGACCATACATCTAGTGGCTATTTTTTCATCTAGCTTACAATATCTTTTACACATATGAATTTCATGAACCAATTAAATTTTAATAAAGATTGTATATATTTCATGATTTTATTTATTGTATCAGAATAGTTGATATAATGTTTATGTGATTCCTTTTTAAAAATTCCACAAAAGAAGCAATCAATAGTTAACTGTTCTTTTCCTTTCAACTAACAAGGAACTAATTAGATACAGTATATATTAATTTTAATAGTTTGACATAGGCTGCATCCATTGTTTTAACTTGATTATAAGAAATGCACTTCAATACAGGAAACCCTCAGGCTAAATCAATCTGGCTTAATGTTTCATATTTATAAACTTCAGATTTAATTAGCATATCTTATGTTAAAGGTTAGGCAGTTAATTGGGCCCATAAATTCATGTGATAAGCCCCAATTACCAGTTAATGATGTTTATTTATGGAGATTGTTTATCTATGATTTACTACATAGCTCTTGTGTTGTTGCTACCTTCAAGGTTGTTTAGATGGAATAGAACAGAACTGAAGTATGTTTATCTAATGTGGTACATATTTACAGCATATCTTCATGAAATCAAACTGAATGAATGTACAAATAAGTGATATCAGAAATTGAATTAAAGGGGGATAAGAAACTCAATTTAAAAAAAGGCGATTTAATTGACTGTAACTTGTAGTGCAAGCTGAACATTTGGAGTTTTTTAATTCTGGCCAAACTTTAGCCATCTTGTTTTGATATGGCAAAGTTTGACCAAAAGAGTTTTCATTTTGATTGATTTTACATGTGATTTTACCACTTGCCCCTCACCACTGTGGGTTCGAATCCCAACAGGGACTTTGGATTCTTTCATGTGAAGTAGCTATCCAGCGAGTTTACGGAACCGCGGTCAGGTTCTACTCAGGTGCCCGTTTGTGCCTGAAATAATGCATGGAAGGGCACCTGAGGTCTTCCTCCACCAGTAAAGCTGCAATATCGCGATATGACCTATACTGTGTCAATGTGACGTCAAACCCAATCAAACAAACATGTGATTTTATGAATGTGCATTAATTATAGTTTTTTTCGACTGTAACTCAAAATGAGTATAACTTTCAGAAAGTTTTGATTTTTGAGAACTTGTATTTAAACACTTATTTCGCTTACAAGATTTTAACTGTGTGACATCAGCCCTCCTGTGAAAATGACAGGGCGAACAAAAGCCCTCCCGTGAAATTAACAAGGCAGACAAAAGCCCTCCCGTGAAAATGTCCGTCTTGTCCTTTTTTGTCGGGAGGGCTTTTGTCCGTTTCCCAGTTTGCTCTCCATAAAAATGTACTCTATGGACGTATCAGTAAATATTTTTCTTTATTGCTCGGGTAATATTAGTAGAAAATTTTTACAAAATTTATTGTTAAGCTGGCTCTGTGTTGTTATGATGAAAAACAAAAACATCCAATGAGTTTGTAGAAAACAAAAATTTGCATGGTAACAGCTTTAATATTCTCTTTTCCAGCTAAATTCTCTTTCATGTTACTGTATATCATTGATGTAATTACATTATTATGTTTCAAAAACCCATTTGATGTGTCGATGTTCAATAACATTTTCCGAAGGTATGCTGATTAACATCTGATAATTTCCGAGGAAAACAAAATAGATAATTTGAATTCTGAGTTTTTTTCTGAACTACAATGCATTCTAATATTAATTGGGTGATGAATAAAGCGCCCTTTTATAGAATTGTCATTGGTTTTATTTATATTACGTGCAAGATAGTCAATATCTTTGTTTGTACTCGGTGCTATTTGTTTTCTGTTTAAAAAAAGCTTGCGTACTATTGATTATGCTATTGTCTGATCGCATTCCTGTATAATTGTTTATAATATTTTATTAAATTGTTATGTTATTTGCCATTTATCTCAATTTCTTATTATGTTAGGTGGAGACTTGGGTTAACTGGGATATAAAATCATAAGACAATGATTTTTCAGAAATAAAATGGAACCAGTCTAGTTTTATGTTTTCTTTTCATTCTTTTATTTTTGTCTTTGTTTAAATGCAACAGTTTGAAGAATGAATGACGCTGGAAAATATCATATTGTTCAAAACAAAAATTCCTTCTTTTTAAAATAGCTGCACATTTGGAAGACAAATAGTGGATCCTTTTGTTATAATTTCGCTGTTGAGATCTGAGGTTGGTTATCATTTTTCTGAAGGTTTTCTGAAGATCGTTACTTGAGACATTCAGAATTCCTTGTTCTATATATCAAAATAGCTCAATAGAAAGAGCAATCACATAGGTGTTAAAGGGGTCA